TGAAATCTACTTAGATGGTACGTCAGGGACTGTAATATGATTGTAAACTCAAGGTGTGTGTTTACAAGCATGTGAATCCAGGGGTGTTTTGAAGATGTTTGCATAGTACATGTTGCTGACCTGGTTTATATATTTAGTACATATTTGGAAGGTAGTAGAATCTTTACTGTTACACAGTAGATAATACATCAGACAGAGCTCCTGGTGACCAAGTGTACGCAAGCCAAAACACTGTCCAGTTCACATAGGAAGCCTTATACAGAGCGTCCAATGTGGCATAGAGAAATAGGACTCCTGGAACGCCTTAATTATTTTTTTTTCCACAATGGTAATACTCATCATTATTTTAATCTCAAATCATATGTCTGTCTCTTTATCAGCGTATTTCTATTCATTGCCTTTATGCGATTGTTGTCATAAAATTGATAATGGCTCTTAATGTGTTCATGGTGACTGTAGTCTCTTGCACTGTGCTAGAGTGGATGAAAAACAGTCATACAGTTGTGTGTTTATGTGGCTTCTCTTGCCACTGGCATGGTGCTGACTTGCTCAGTAGTGACCCTGTTGAACTTCCAAAGGTTTTTTTTTTCATGCTGTTGGCATAAAATCTTTGTTCGTAGCTGGAGTCAACCTTGAACATCTGTCTTAGTTCTTACAACAATCCCTGCTGAGTCTACAGTGTGTGTCTGACCTTGCTTTTAATGTCTGGAATATGTATCCTGCAGTTGAGAGAAATGTAATTTTTGATATTTCTTTTTATTATTTTTTTCTTCTGTAAGGATAGCCTCATTGGTAGCAAATGAAACTTTCACACTTTTTCTAGAATGAAAATTAAAAATAAATGTCAACAATCCACCGTGAAGTGAATCCTAATGCCAGCCAACACTTAGACAAAATGTTCTGTAAAACCAGTGGAAATTTTACTTCTGTTAGAGGATTAGCAGAGTCTCTGTAGTGCAAGGTGAATATAGGGTGAACATAGGGCAAACTAGGGAGGATTCTTTTTTAGATTATTTATATCTTCAGTAAAGCAGAGAGATAAAACCTGAAAGTGAAATGGATAATGAGATGCCCACAAGAAACATGGTTCTTGATACTACTGATGTTACCACTTAGCATTAAAATAACATGTATATAAAATATGATTAAGTTAAGACATGCTTGTTATCAGTAGTGAACAAATTGGGAGTACGGAAACCTCTGTTCATGAGTGCTTTAAAAATCTGCTTAAGACAAGCTGGTGGTGGTGGGCACTATTCATGCCCTCATGGTAGATGAAGCTCAAGGCTCTTGGAGATTAAGTATAGCAAGCTCCCAACCTCTGGGGAGTTTTCAGACAGACAGGTTTTTTCTGTCAATCTTTGTCTCTCCATCTGTCCTAGCACACAAGCTTCGCACATGATGCGCACCAGGTATGTGGGTTGACTGCCCAGAAACTGCACTCTGTTGTATATCCAATGTGTCCAGCAAAGCCAGGCTCAGCCTGGGTGGGTGTGTCTTGCAACTCTGTCAAGTTACTTGTGTCCTTACTGAACATCAATATATCATAGTCGAGGTTGAAGCTTGGCGGAAGTGGATGGATGACTAACTAAACTAGCTACATGCTTTCATTTTAGGAAAGACACATTATCTGTCTTTCTCAAAGATGGACCTCTCATGGGAGCATTAGAAAGTGCTGTTTCATCTTGCTCTTCTGTCTCTTGAGAAAGCTGCTGAGGCAAGACAAAACCTCAGTCCATGCCACCCTCTGAGCTGATACTAGGGAGCCTCTTGCTTTGTCTTGCAGATATGAGGTGGCAGCAGGAGTTAAGTGTTCTTGTTAGTCTCCAAGGTGGAAAGTGGATCTTTTCATTGTAGGCTGTAGATTTCTTACCAAATCTGTTACCTCCAGAAGACTCTGGACTGCAGCAGCATCCCCTGATTAAGGCTTCATGCTTACTATGACTCAAGGATTTATTTGCCTAGCTCTTGAATAGTTTTTCTCATAGTAAGCAGATGCCACTTGTACTTTATTGGTGTATGCTGGTTTCCAATTCAGGTTTGGTTTTACTGAACAACTGGAAGGTGTTGCTTTGGATTTGGAGTATTCTGGCTGCCTGGGAAATGTCATGCTTAACAGGGAAACGTGAGCTAAAGCCTGTAGATGTAACTGGGAGATGGAGGAGGCAAGGTGTTTACTGTGCAGTTCCCACCCTAGCTTAGGCCATCCTTTTTCCTTTTTTTTTTTTTTTTTCCAATATTTTTCCTCTCCAGAGTTATTGTTTCCATCAATTTTTTCACTGAACTTTTGTTGCGCCGTTGTTTTTTACTATGCAGCTCTATTCCAGGCAATTTCAAGCACTGGCTGCACTAGATGCTTTGAGAACTTGTATTCTGAATGCTCCGTGAGTCTTGAATTATAATGATGGCTGAGGCTTTTAAGAAAATAGAAATGCTGTATATATTTTGACATTTCCTTATAGTGCCCAATGAGCTATCTCTCTAAGTTCTGTAGAGCAAATAGAATTATGCTTCCTTTAAATGTTACAGGTTGATTTGTTTCATACTACTTTTGAACTTGCACCCTACCATGATACTCAACCCTGGACAGCAGCAAGTTAGAAAATAGTTTGGTGTTAAAAAGCAGCATTACAGCTTGAAGCAGAAGTAGCAGTGGGGTACAGAGAGAGATGCAACCAGTCTTAGTTTTGTGCAGAGAAGGGACCTGTATGAAAGGTAGAGAAGGAGCTATAAACAAAAGGCTGAAATGAAGTAATATTTTGCATTATCCATGTAATTTTGTATTTAAAAGATATCTATACAAAGGGCTGAAAAGGCAATATCTCAATAATGTACTAAATCTGTGCTTTGATTCAGTTGTCAGAGAAGCAGAACTCCACTGCAGTTCTGCAGAGCCATAGGATATGTTAGTATTAAACACTGCAACAAGGTTGCAAGAAAGAAACCATGCTCACCATGTGTTGGAGGATTGCTTTATCTTCATAGAATCATAGTATAGCCTGAATTGGAAGCGACCTTAAAGATCACCTAGTTCCAACTCCACTGCCCTGGACAGGGGATACCTTTCACTATACCAGGTTGCTCAGAACCTGGCCTTGAACACTCCTAGGGACTGGGAATCCAACTTCTATAAGCAACTTGTTCCAGTGCCTCAGCACTTTCATAGTAAATAATTTCTTCCTAATATCCAATCTAAACCTATTCTTTTCCAGTTTAAAGCCATTCCCCCTTGTCCTGTCACTCTATGTCTTCATAGAAAGTCCCTCCTACTTCAGGAACTGAAAAGTCACAATTAGGTCACCCTGAAGCCTTCTCTTTTCCAGGTTGAACAATCCTAATTCTTTTAGGCTTTCCTTGTTGTCTTCCATGGATATATCCCTGACCCTGTCACCAGACCAGCTGAGGCCTCCATGCCCTACTTAACTTTTTGTTGAATTGTCACCAAGTTTGAGCTTTGTCTTCTCTTAGCCTTTTTCCCTGGGTTGAATGACGGCACTGTTTCAGAGAGCTCTCCTTTGGTTTTTTCTCTTTCATTCTGCACCTGCATCTCTTCTGACAGAGCTATTCCCTAAGCATACTAAAGAATATCACTGAAGAATTAATTTAGTTTTGTCAAGTTTCTGGTCTGACCCTTAATTTAGAGCAGTCATTTCAGTCTACAATAAACTCTGTGTTTCTGCATGCCGCAGTGAAAGAATTACGAGCAGCCCTTAGCCATGTGCACTCAGGATGCCTTGGTAGCCCCATGAGACAGGTAGACTTCAGTGCCTGAAAACTTATTATAGAATGGGGGTACAGTCAGTATGTTATTGTCTGTGTAACAGTGTATATGTGGGTCTGCCTGTGTGTAAAAGCTTTTACATGATTCACTGAGGCCATTAGGAGTGGAGTGATATACCATCATTTCAGGCACAGAGCTCTTCAAAATGAACAGCTTTTTCCATC